CTTGCCCCGCAAAATGTTGACATTTTTTAAAAATTCAGTATTGATTTATTTTCAGATTGGCCACCTGATCTCTGGATTTGACCATGAAAACTAATAAGAAAAAAATCCTGAGCTGTAGGAATGCGGTATTTGGTGATCTGTGATCACTTCTTTTCTAATTCAAGTCTATGGGAGCCAGGGCTTTTTGGAGCCAGCAGCTAGCGGACGCAGGTTTTTGACACTTCCGGGTTGGCTTCATTTTTCAGGGTCGGTTGCTACGTCCATCTTTTATACAGTCTATGGTCTCCAGTATCCTATAAGTTGCCTCAGGTGATGTCACGTGAGTCAGCATTGGTTTGGTGGAAAAAAAAAAAATCTGGTGGAAAGAAGTGAGTTTACCAGACCTCTGCAGCCAGAGCCGGCCTTAGGCAGAGGCAGTATAGGCAAATGCTAAAGGCGCCGACATCCACAAGCAGAGGAGGGGAAGTGGCCGGAATGCACAGGCAGCGTTAAGCTGCAGATTTCACATTGGTTTATACGTTATGAAGAGAGTCAAATAGTGTGGTGCTCAGGGAAGGAAATAAGAGGAAGAACTACAGGAAAAAGACACAGGTACGGTAACGTCAATGCGATGGTATTAATTAGATTAAGCAGGGTTGTTGCCGGCGTTATAACAGAGAAACGGCCCGTTACGCTGCTGCCTGAAGAAATTACGCTGTAAATTGGGCCGATATGTTGTTTTCGAGGGTATGTAGCGGGCAAATGATCATTTCTCCACGTTGATTGTACCTGGCTAACTGACGTTACATTAGCATCTTAGCTGCTAGCATTAGCAGCAAAGACGTTAGCGAACCGTCTTCGCCAACGCATAGCAGCAAAGACGACGGTAGAGAAACTGCATCGGCGCTTGTGGTTAAATATTTGCATGAATACACGTCACTTAGCCAGGGAGTGTCGCTAAGACACCCCCCGCTACGCTAGCAAACATTTCTGGTGAGAACCGTGTTAGGTTAATGGATTGTAGTTGCTGTTGTCAGAGCAATGCTAACATGCTAGCTTATTTTGGACAATAGCAGCGTTGTTTATAATTACTAAATAGCTATAGTTGACTAACGTTAATATGCTACCACCATCTTAAATCAATCAGGGATATTTAGAAGGTTAATATCAGGCCTGTTCCGGTGGTATTTTAAACTGTTGAATGTATTTTCCCAGTTGTCTGTTAAAATGCTTTCCTTCCTCTTCATGTGCTACAGGGTGCTAAGTTTACTCCAGTGTTAAAGTGCAGTTAATGATGAATACTTTAACCTTCTCCATATTATAATAAATTACACACATATTGCAATATATAAAAAAAAAATACAGGAACATTCAACAGATACATGAATACTTGAATACATGCATACAGTTTGTGTTACTGTATAAAAATTAAGAGTGACATTCACTGCCACCTACAGTCTTGCCGAGGGCACCAAATTGGTCAAGGCCGGCCCTGTCTACAGCCCACTGCTCATTTGTGCTTAAGGCCTGTGCAGCGTTGTTGATACCTCACCTGTGATGTGGAGCCTCTTGCTTTTCATTTCACTGCCCACATGGAGGCAGGTCACCAACATTTAAAGAGCAAATTAGGAGCAACAAAAGTTGACCTGAAGTGCTTTTCAGTAGGGAAATAAGATTAATGTTGCAGTTTTACCTGACGTGTTTAAATGTCAAGGTTAAAACCTGTACAATAATATCCTCGTTCCTACATCACCACACATACAGCTTTTCCAATGTTTAGTTTTAAAGTCTGAGAACATAGTGTTCTGTGTGTTTTGGCCGTGTTGGCAGGTTAGAACGGTCCATCTGAGGCTGC